AACCCCACTCTCCCAATGCTCGCCAAAAAACAGCCAGCCAACTTCACTGTCCCCCTTGACACACAAGCAGCCGCGACTGTTTAGGCTTCGAGAACTCGATCTGATCATTGAGGATAATGTTTCTTGGCTTATGGCATGCCTACCATATCTCATTTCGGACGTGTCTGATCCGTCTTTCTGCGATAGAATCGAGCAGGACGATACCCTCGAGCACTCAGCAATGGTGCTATAAACCGCCCTTGTCGCAAGCCAGAGGCCTCTCATATAGCGGAAAGAAGCCATGTACCTCTAGACCACCACGATTTGCCCCTATGAAGGTCTTGACGAAGGAGATAGACACCGTTGACGCCCCGGAGAGGATACCCTAGCTGGATAGCGACTTCCAGGAGACGGTTCGAGAAGGTGGCACATGGTGATAGTGCAAGTGGGGGCATTATGGAGTCATACCGACTATATAGGTTTCTTCTACAGTCGGAGAGAATTCACTCGTCGCGGAAAGTGCTCTATGGCTTTGAAGGTATGCACACACAGCCGCTCGCCCGCCGTTCTCATGTACTGAATGCCACATTGTATAGAGCACAGGGCTTTCGAGCGAAACATACTCTAGCTGCGATGCCTACCCAACGCAGAAGACTCGCAGAAGTTGGGAGGCTTGACCTGGGCCATGCAACCTCGCATAATGAGCGTTCGACGTGTGGTACGTGCACCTTGACTCTATCTGCTGCGTTGTTGTTGAATATCCTTGCGGCGACATCAACAGCCCAGGCCGACTGGATTTGGCTCCCAGCCTTCGCTCTACCTACCATACCGGTACTCTCCTCGAAAAAGACGATGAAGCAAACCAAAAAATGGCAAATCTACCACTGGTCGTGGAACGAATGCCAGGATAGGATGCGACGGCACGAGGCAGAAGCGTAGATCTATATAGAGCCCAACATGGCTCGCCATGGCCCATACTCGGTATCCATCTGGGGCGCTCTCCTGCTCAGAAGATTGCCAGGTGTCATTGCCGCCACTAGGATGCCTTCTCTGGCACAACGGTGTGCCCGAAATGTCGCGGAGGCATGTGGAGGTTCAGGTCCTCTTCCTGTCCTTTGCTCCCGTTGCACCCCCCTTCCCCTTATGAGAACCACGTCGAAGCCTCATGTGCCATATCTCCCCCATCTACACTGTCACTTTCTCCCCTCCCGTTCAACCAGAAGTCCTGAATCGGAATCCCGATGTTCCCGTTCCCCATCCGTACACATCACGTTGCTATAAAATATATCTGAATTCCTCATCCTCGCGGTTTGCCAAACTAAGACGAGGTCGCGCCACCAATGTCCAGGAAGTCGCTACCTCGGGTCTACTAAGAACCGGTCGACGTTTTGGCAGTGGTGGCATAATACAGAACGTCAGCATTCGTTGTTATATTTATTCCTAATACCACAGAGCGAGCATTGGTAAGGGGAACATTGAACCCCCTGTCGCAGCCAATACGAGAATAACTTGCAAACAAGGCTTTCCGCTGTCTCCTTTCTTTAGGCGTATCGCTCATATACATTACTCTGACAGCGCGGTCTTGGGATGTAAGTGACTATATGACGACCGAGCAATGAACACTGGGAGAGTAAGACCCAGCATTAGCGCATCCGGACCTCCGAAAGCTACTGTTCGAAGCGGTCTATGCACCCCGGCGTGTGAATCCATCGATACTTACTCTTTCCAGTCGCAGATGTATAAAAACCACTTCTCGAGTTCTGTAGCTCCAACAGCCAGCCTTTGGCTGTCGCTCAGGCCGCTCGTAAAGGAATCAGGATAAAGATGCTCACATCGGCTTTCGCTCTTGCTCTGGCTTTGGTCGAAGTCAACGTCGCGCAGGCCGTACCCCGCGTGGTAAACCTATCGTCTTCCTCCTAGTTACCCAACCTTGCTGACACTCATACTCAATCCCCCCTGCAGAAGGAACGGGCACTCACCTCGATCGTCACTGTCGCCCTGACCGAATTAGTCACGGTTACCCAGACCCTTCCATTCCAGACGAATATCAATACTCGGACCGTGGTTCCGTCGTCGGTTGTCGTCACCGAGACACTTATCCTTCCAGCTTCAACTTGGACGTATACAATAACTATGTCACCTACCACGCTCGTTATTACCTCAACCCAAACACTTCCGGCCACGACTTGGACGTATATGAGGACTGTGGTTCCCTCTTCGGTTATTGTTACCGAGACGCAAACTCTTCCCGTTACTACTAGGACAGTTACGAAGACTGGTTTATTCGTCGGTAGTGGCGACGAAGACTATCAAACCGGGACTGTAACGTTGACTACCACGGTCGTGAGTGTTAAATCGTTGAACACTTATTCGGAGGGCTGCTCACAACAACTGCCTATTCTTTTCCAGTAAATCAAGCTGTTCAGTTCGGCTCCCTGTCTACGGACACGAAGTACACACATATAACGATAGGTCAAACGAGATTTCTATCAATCCAGCCTACTTCGGTGCAATCAACGGCTTTCCTGCCTTCGCCCTCGCTCTCCTCGTCAGAGCGATTCTCATAATACAATAAAAATGCACTGAAGCAACTAGCAGTGGCGTCAGCGGTGCCAACACAACGATTAGGATACGGGTGATCGTGGCCAGAATGAGAGAATAGGCCAGGTTCTGTTGAATCATAGGGTTGAGTGCGTTGGTTCCATGGTGTCGAGAAGGAAAAGGATGACTTACATTAACCCGTTCCGAATAGTCAACTCCGGGAATATCCACCACCGTTCCGCAGCTCCGGATCTCGCGTAGTCGTCGTGAGATTCTAGGATTATAATACCAATCACGATATGCCGAAGCGTCCCACTTCAGGCTGAGTCGTTTCAAGTTTAGAGGGATAAGTTTCGTTCGAATGATATGGAGGAAGACGTCGCTCTGGGAAACAAAAGCCTGCCACTGTGATTGGGGACTGCCCAAAGCCACCTCGAGATCCTTCTCGTCGAGGACTTCAAGAGGAAATTGCGGCGTCAATGACCGAACGAGTGGGTCCTGAGCAACGCTCTTTGATACTCGAACCGTGAGATCTTCCACGTTTTCGAGTGCCGGAAGGTTCCCGATACTCCACCAATCGAGCGACAGAAGAGGCACCATATCGACGACGCTAAATCGAAGGTCACGAAGGTTGGGTGTATATTCTAGCAGACGGTTTACTGATTCGTTGGCGAGCTTTACTCCGGTTGTAGGAACGCGGAATTCTACTGTCTCGATGTCACACTCGGAGTCGATTATCAGGGAGATAATCCTGTTGTAAACCCACTCGCAGTCGACAAGGGTGTCGATCATGCGATCGGTGGTGAGGACGATGTGACGGAGTTGGGGTGTGAGTAGGCCATCGAGTGCCTGCGGGTAGTTGTTGGTGTGAAGGTATGTGAGGCTCGGTAAGGGGTAACGATCAGGGTTGGTATCGATCGCGGGAGGGGATATGGGAGGGATGATTCGAGCTAGAGGGTCAACGAACGCGAGTTCTAGCTCCAGGTGGGTCAGCTGAGCCCAAGGAAAGACGAATGGATTGAAAGGGCTGGGGATCTGGATCGCAACGTGGTGTAGGGCTAGTCCCTTGATCTCGCAGCTACCGATGGTATCCTGCCCGTCGAGATTTATGGTGCATTTCTCCAGCAATGGGAAGAAATATTCCTGGAGAGTAGATGCATCGTTCCCGGTGATGGTGAGCTCAGCACGCTTCCAACGGTGTGCACAGGCGAGGAGGCGACCAAGAAGGGGCGAAGGGTTCATAAGAACAATAGATAGTGGGCGATCCTTTGACCGATCTATGATGTAGGAGAGACGAGCTGCCAATGGAGAGGTATCGATGTGTCGTCTGTGGCTGATAGAAATATTGGTCCAAAGGTGAGGATAAGAATTGACGATGTCGCGCCATGATCTTCTGACTAATGAGAGCGTGCAGGCATCGAGAAGTACTGGCGATTTCAGTTGGGGAGTCTCTAAGACATGTTCAAAGATGTTCAATAGGATCTCAACAGGGAGATGGTCTATCGTATAAGCCTTTCTGCGAGGTTTTGTGAACAAGTGAGAGATAGGGTAGTACTGTGTTTTTGGCATCCTGAATGGTCCTACAAGTGCTATAAGTTCGGACCAGACGTTATCGAAGCGAGTGGCTCACCAAGCCCATTATCGTAGTGGCCCATGGCAAAATTGTAAGACTGCTGTATGAGGAGGTGAAGTTACGGAGAAAAGGCAATGGAGTGGGTTATAAGTCGTCCAAGGACCCAGGTTATGCTTGAAGTCGTGCTGGCTAAACGTGCAGATCGATTTCGGTGTGTTAAAGACGTGTTCTTGTATTGTGCCATTGTTCGTGGGAGTTGACGTTGAGAACGAGAGAGGTGAAGGAGAAGGATTGCTAAGACCTTTCTGGGTAACTATGTTGTTCGGTTTTTGCTCGCTTGGCAAGGGCCACAACCTAAGAGTCGTTGAGAATTTGCGTAAACGGACCCTTCACCTACCCTGCTTAGTCGCTTCATATAGAGGACGTGTTTGAGAAAGATGTGCTTGGCGATGCGTATCGGGTGGGGTAGAATGGCTTGACTGCCTCTGTATCCAGGATCACAGGGTTACATGATCCGCCAGGGAAAGCATTGAGGCAAAAGCGGCCGTCGATTGTGTCGCGATTGGCTGTGAATCAGTGGATTTCTCCGCTCTATTTCCGGATAGTGAATGCGAAGAGACACGAGAGTGCAGTGGGAGACGAAGATTAGCTCAAATTATTTTTCAACCTACGTATAATGTGAATGTCAGATTAGTGGTGGGCGGATGTATAACAAGGTGAAAATAACTCGACATCGAAGAACCAGGGGGCCCTGGATCCTCTTGTGGGAGGTTACCTTCCCATAACGCAAGGTGAAACGATAATAGTGTTGGAAGGAAGATCGTGAATTGATGGATTAATCGATCGGAGTTCTCGTACAACCGTGGCCGCCTGTAGCCTGTCATTGACTCTTGCCGGAAATTTGTATGCCCGCCTAGCTCAATCGGATAGAGCGTCAGACTTTTAAGGCAAAGGGCATCTGAAGGCTGCGAGTTCGACCCTCGCGGTGGGCTATTGGCAATCATGTCGTATTTTTTCTAATTCCCATCCAAAAACAGTGTGAGCCGGCAACTATTTGAAAATCTGGAGCTGGTAGATAACTTCACCGATCAGTAATATTCGACATCAAATTGTCGTTGTACAGAACCCCGAGTCATGATCAAATTTCCCCATGGATGAGCCCCCAAAGCAGTCCGAAATAACTCGCTAACACATGAGCAGGACGGCACCAATCCCAGCCCTGATACCTGAAGCCAGAGGCCTGAGGTCGTTTGATATTTAATGCAGGTTGTGGCCGCCCTGAGATCTGTCATGTCTGCTCTCGTTTGGACTGCTCCTCATGCATTCGTGTTCAGCAGGACATCTCCTGACCCTTCTATGTAATATGAAGTTGACAGAGGCGGGCAAGACTAAAAGTACCAATGGATTGACAGTTCGACGTATCCCAACTCCGACGTTTCGTGTGTTTTTCGAATGCCGAATTCTCCGAGCCCTCGGTCATACGGCCTTTCGAGGATATAAAATCCAGATTTTGTGGAGCTATCTTTCCTCCAGTTAGACCATGAAGTTCGTCCTTCTCAGCCTCGCTGCCCTCGCTACTGCCGTCTCTGCAAAAAACTGCGCTAAATGTGCATCGACAATTTTCTACTCCGGCCAGACCAGGAGCCTTACCTTCCAACTGCAAAGCAGCTCCGGCACGGCGCAGTGCAAGTGAGTCTCTGTCGCTCTCATGAATGATGTTTCCAAATCTAAACATCCATTGTAGCTACGACTCCCCGCCCATCTCAGGATTCAGTCCCTACTGCCTTTACAATGTATGTCATGACATCTTCCGAATTTGAGACTGTGTCACTAACGACCACTTAGAATAACGATGGGTCCTTGATTCTCAGTAACACAGGAGGAGCTTGCCCCAGTTTCGTTACCATCGTCGCTGTGCCTTCCAGCGCAACTTGCAACGCATTCCCCTGATCATTGAAAAACATGGGGAACCCAATAATACGGAGGCGGCAAAGATGAAGATTCAGTATTCGGCGCATACACGAAGAATCATCGACTGGCAGCTAAATGTATTCTTTACATACTACGTGAAAGTTGATGCACACAGAAGGGAATATCATCTTGAATCAATGTTCAAGAAGCAGTAAAGGTTATCACGCTAACACTATATGCCGGGGCCTGATAGTTGAACGTTTTGCCCGTTGTGATAGTAGAGTTCTTCGGTGCGATGGCATTCGGAGTCGAAGGATTATTCGCGGCGGTCTGAGGCCCGGTCAGCAGTTGCAAGTTTCCCGACGTGGCTACGTTGTTGAACGGAAGTACGAATGTCAACGTCTGGACATTCCCGCCAGCATTTGCTACCTAATATTCAATAGTTCGTTAGAATGAAAAGAATATTAGCACAGTGGGGTGTTCAATGCCTTGATAATGACGCCGTTACTACCGGTCCGTGCGACAGTCCAGTGGAGTGTGCCAGTCCTGGACGGGAGGGTGCTTGGTAGATAAGCGTCACCTCGGTTTCGGCCAAAAAGCTGATCAAAAATGATGAGTAGTCGTTTGATGAATGGTTCGCGGGGAAGAGATTACCTTTTGAACGTGATAGCTGGCTGAAAGGTAGACGGTGTTGGCACTGTCGATCGTGTTAAGTAATTCAGCGTCCGACACATGGCCACTCAAAAAAGGAAACCCACTCAAAGCTGATTAGATTCGGGCTCTGGCAATTTTGTTAGAGACTTCCCACAGAGCTCTGGTGTCATCGCGTACCCATTGAGTGCTCTTGACGTGCTGGAAGATGAATTTATAGTATCAGCACATTCTTAGGTCCGATATCGGCGGCTGAGGACCCACGTTTAGCAGCGGAGCATAGGCAGCCGCGAAGACTATATCACTGTTCCCTGCACGAGAAGTCAGCGGAAGATTAGCAATGAATCTAACTGATATAGCTTACTCTCCATCCCAGTCATGAAAGCAGCCTCGCCCGCCGCAGCTAAACAGACATTTCAGGAGTTCGATTATGATATTGGAAGAACGGCTGGAAATTTGATAGTTACCTTCCATAGTGGGATAAGGAAGACGGTGTCCCCAAATGTCGCTGTCGTTTGTCGAAATCGCAGCATACTCGCCCTAAATATATTGTCGGCTTCACTTAGTCAATATTACACGAAAGATACGCTTACCTCAAAATAACGAGTGCCATCTCGCTGCCCCCAGGAAAATTAGTCGCGAACTTCGAAACGTCACATGCAGCAGACCTACAGCGAAGGAGTCATACTGGAAGGCGTTCTGATACATCCACTCTGAGGTATGATATGAGGCTTGCAAGAAGTGTTATGTAGAGAGATACACGACATACTGGGTGTTTGGTAGACATGAACGTCGTAAGTTGCCGGTTTGGGTGTGAGTTGAGGGCTGCCGACATTGGTTGTGGCCATGAATTCTAGTGTTCCCGTGCGAATCGGCGTAAGTAATGATGGTGAAAAGCTCAAACTACTGACTGATCGTTGGGAATTGAGATTGCAGAGCCTGTAGGAAGGCTTGCCAACGACCAGGGTATCTGAACCAGGATGATTGGTAAGAGAGCGCGGGAAACGTGAACGAACGTACGTTCCCGCGGCGTTTCCAATGAAGTCCTAAAATCATACCATCAGCACAAGTAATAGATTGATGGCTCCGAAATTCTACCTCGTTTCCAACCTCAACGTGGGTTAGCTTGAAAGGCGCCGGATGCCCAAGTTGCGACCTAAGCGCAGCTTTAGAAGTGGAAAATCAATGATTTCAGACATTTCGAGGTGATTCAGGTTTGCGTACCGGCTGCATTCTTCGTGGGATCTCCGATGGCGAAGTTGATCTACCAGCGAGTAAGTTCAAGGAGGTCATCTGGAGATAAAGTGTTGCTGACCTGATCGGCGGCTTCTTGAATGTAAGGTTGAATTTGATTTGTCGGAACACTAGTTCCTCCAAGCGAATATCCTATCGAGCAGCGTTAGGATACGAGTGTCAGATGCACTCACAATCGTGACCTCACCCGCCCATATACCCATGATTGGTTCGGCACCAATGTCCTCGCACCAGAGGAAGTATTCATACAGTCCGAGGCCGCTATAGAGATGGTTGAAGTCATCGCTTGGCGAAACAAACATTCAACGCCTACTCTGTGTTAACGTAGCTCCAATCTCCTTGACGACCTTTGAAGAATAGTGAGCTCATCCAACCAATAGAGTGTTCACACGGATGTCATTCACCCGGACGACTCTCAAGAGGACCTACAGTCTTCCTCCATTGCCACCTCCTATCGGTAGTTTGTCCCTAGACGAAAAAGATACATGTGATCTGCCTTCTCAACAGTGTAAATGCGAAGCTCACTTCCTTCAGAAGTTCGAGGTAGAAATTCGCGTCAATTAGAAAGTCCTCGAGGAACGTCATAGAACGCACGAGATTGTTTCCGCCTGGGAATCTGAAGACGCCGGGGCCCATATCTGCCAGAGCCTACGGATGAAGTGAGATGCCGAGTCATTGAGCTTGGCGACAATAAACAGCTCCATACCTGAGCTATATCCTGCCGCATTCCGTTGGGCCTGTTCTTGAATGTGGGCGGGAACAACGAAAACAACGCGAAGCGAATCGTCTGTCCTGACGCAGCAGCACCATCGACCGTGATGGCAAAGTAGTTGTCTGTCGAGCCAGGGGTCGTGGTCGGTTTGAACTTGACCATAACTTGTTTCCAGGTGGACTGGCTCCCGACGAGAGATACGGTGGCGCTTCCGAGAATCTGCCCTGAGCTGGACTGAAGGCTTATTGTCGCCAGTCCGCTGAATGAAGAAGCGGAGGGGAACTTGTAGAAAAACGATGCTGTGTACTCAGATGCCGATGTGACTTTAATACCTATAATAACCGAGTGGGAACTGAAAATGCAGGTTGAAGACAGAGTCCAACTCACCCCACCATCCTGAGTTTCGGACCCCGACCCCGCCACTCTTTCCACCTGGCACCACCAGGTTAAGCGAGTTAGGGAGAGCACTCGACAAGGGTGCACCGTCGTTTACAACAGAGATTTGTGCACCGTTCACAGCGCTCCAAGCGGTAAGCGATTGCGAGGTTCCTATCGAACTTGATGCGACTGCGGGAGTAGAGATGATGTGGACTAACCTGGACTAACAAGTTGGAAAGCCCGGTTTTGGAGGACTAGACGGATGAAGATTAACATATCTGCAAAGTGTGTTGATGAGCATGATGAGGCGTACGTTCTCCGTATAATCCTCCATCTCCGCTCTGAAGAGTCAAACTGCGAGTCAGTCCTTAAGATCTGCAATTAATGATAGTCGTACATGCTAGTGTCACACTGAGTGAGCGAAGGAGACGGAAGGGCCAAATCCACGACCCACATTGATATCCTGGTGGCGATAAGAAAAGCCCGAGGTTCGCAAACGTTACACCATGAACTTCCCAAATTGCAGCAGGGAAAACTCACTTCAAACATTTGTCCCCCTACGAAAAAAAGCGAAGATATATATCAGGGACTTGAAGTATCGAGAGCAAGAACAATTGAACCCACAAAGCGTAGTCGGTATAGCATGATGCGTTGTCGTACTAACACTAACCGTAGTGGTCTGGGCAGACGCAATGCCTACAAGGAGTAGGATCCCCACAGCAGGGATACAGAAGATCATGATGTCGTGAAGGCTCGGAGCTCTCGAAAAGGACTTTATATCGTTCGATTCCTGTGATGGTATTGAAGGATCAGCAACGGGAGAATCGAGTCACCAGCCATTCGTGCATATGGACCGGAAATTTCACAGATCCGAAGTCCCGTGGCTCACACTATCCGGTCAGAGAGAATCTTGTATAGTCTCATACCCATCCGCCAGCCGGTGGTGTTGTGACCGTACCAGTGGCTGTACGAGCAATGTCGACGGGGCAGCGGGGTAGAAGAAAGTTCAGAAACGCCGGATTAAAAATCCAGTTGTTCGTGGCACATCAAATCTAGTGGGGTGCCAGGAATCTCTCATGAGAGCTT